AATATTCTGGAGGGTGTTTTAAAGCCTTGAGCACGCAAACATTTTGGCCGCAGACCTTGGACCTTCCAACAGGACTCAGCACCATCACACTTAGCACGCGTGCACAATAGCCACCAAAATCTCCGGATACCAATCCGTTGGACTATTGTGTCTGGAGTATTTTTGAAAGCAAGGTTGGCACTAAAAAATACCAAAGTGTCGATCATCTTAAGCAAGCGCTTCGCTTCGCCGCTTGGGCCAAAATACCTCAGAGCAACATTCGGGCAGCGTGTGACGATTTCATTTGTCGTTTGAAGGTCATAATTTGTGCCAAAAGTGATTAATTCGTACAAATCTAAACTTATTCTAAAATTTTGTGCTATTTCCGACAATTTTTGCTTTGATTTAATAAAATTTAAAAAAAATGTAAAAATTATGGCGTTTAACTTTGTTGCAGTTTTTTTATCTCACCCTGTATAAAAGAGTAGTGAAATAACTGACTGACGCCCAGACGAAACGGCTGAAACTAGAATCTTGAAAGATTGTACAAGGTTTAGTCTTGGTGCGTAGGCATATGATAAAGCTGAATTTTCTTAAAATTTTAAAATTCTGAAATTCAAGAACTGAAAACTTTGTATTGGACAAAGGGAATGAAATTTGGAATAAGAGTCACTAAAGGAGTACACAACCAAAGGGTTTTTGGGAAATTCGAACTTTAAGGTAACAAACTTTGATATTGAGATCCCTGTCGTATCTGGAATTGAGATATGGATTTTGAAATGTGTACTAAAATTATACGAAAAGTACTAAATTTAGTACTGGGTGAAGGAATAGAGCTGCAGTCGTGAAATTTGATATTGAGGTCACTATTGGTGTCTGTGGTTAAGATATGGAGGTGGTTTTGGAAATGCGTCCTATATTTGTACGAAAAGCACTATATGGTACTAAATTTGGTATTGGGTAAAGAGATAGGGCTGGAATCCTCAAATTAGATATAGAAGTCCCTGTTGGTACCTAGAAATGAGATTTGAAGATGGTTTTGGAAATGTTACTATTATTGTTCGAAAAGTACTAAATAGTACCAAATTTGGTATTAGTTGAAGGAATAGAGAATCCTGAAATTTAATATTGAGGTCACTGTTGGTGTCTGTGTTTAAGATTGGGTGAAGGAATAGAGCTCGAAATTTAATATTGGGGTCTCTGATGGTATCTGGTGTTGAAATCTGGCGGTGGTTCGAAAAGTACTAAATTTTAAATATTCTAAATGGTACAAAATGTTGTTTGGTTTCTATGATTTCATTTGGAGACGTTCTGGACAGAAAAAAATTATGTGGATCGATTGTTCAATGTTTTTTCTTATATCCTCCATGGTAAAGTTCAAAATGAAAGATTTATGGTGTAAAAGGTAAATATGTTCCTATTAGGCCTAACACGATCTTTTGGAACAAACCTATTTTAAGGTGGACTCTTCGCTGACGAAGTATGGGTTTTAAAATAATAAAATGTAAAATTGGGCAAAGATTTCTTCTATGATCACAAATCGATATAGTGCGAAGGTGAGTGGATAACGCCGATCCACTGTTTCTTCTTCAATAAGCCAAATCTGTACAAATACAAATCGAAGGGACAACTCGATTTGGTTGAAGCTTTTAACATTCAAATGTTTATGCTAAGCTTAGAAAAGGTACAAAAATGGGATATCTCGGCTCAGAATGTGAGCGAAAATTGCGTACGGATTTTGGAAGAAGAGAAGCATCGTCTGCTTCTTATGTAAACAAGCAAAATTGTCCTATTAGGGGCACCGAAAACCAACACCCAGACATTGAAAAGCCGATGCACCCTAAACGAGTTACTGTTTGGTGCTGGAAATTGAGCAAGGAGTGAGCGTTACGTTATCAGGCCAAGTTGAATTTTTGTTTACAATAGTTGAATAGGAGGATATTGACAGCATTTGTTTTCAATAGGACGGCGCTATGTCCCACACGGCCAAAGTCACAAAAAAAAAAAAAAAAAAAATTATATATATATATATATATATATATATATATATATATATATATATATATATATATATATATGTATATATGTATATATATATTTTTTTTTTTTTTTGTGACTTTGGTCGTGTGGGACATAGCGCCGTATATATACATATATATATATATATATATATATATATATATATATATATTTTTTTTTTTTTTTTGTGACTTTGGCCTTAAATATATATATATATATATATATATATATATATATATATATATATTTAAGTTCGAACTTTGCTAATGGCAATATTGGTATTAAACTTAGATCAGGTACAAAAATGGGTAAATCGGTCCACAAAAATTCGGTCCACATCTTTAGGGACCTTCCCAAGAAAGGCTTAAAATTTTGAATAATAATAATAACACTCATAAAGTCGGTAGATGAAATGTAAATATATTTCCTTCTGGTACACCAACAACTAAAGATCGAAATGGCCGAAAAAAATCATATATCTCATACAACGTCAGTAAATGAATTAATTTTGTCCCATAATTCCATTGTTGCTTCGAATTAAAAGCTTTCTCTTACGGCTAGAATACACCAGTTTCTGTTGTGACTTCAACAAAATAAAACATTGTATTTGGGTCAAAGCAATGGTTAATAACCTCCGAAATAATATACGTCAGTAAATTCATTAGACACTTAATGTGCATATATTTACGATTAAAATGCAATATATTTTTATCGACTTTTGGCAAATTTATTACATTTTATTTATTTTAGATAATTAATATTTAATTTTTTTTTTATCAAAATTAGCATTGTTTAAATCTGATATGTTGGTGTTGTTGTGTAAAAAATTACATTTTGAATATTAATGAATTAGAAAATTATTATCGATTTCCACACATAGATATAATTCTAATAAAATCCCATTTATAACATACGTCATAAGTTATTATTTTCTAGCAGCAAAGTTCATTTGTGAAAATCGATTTCAAAAGAATATAATACATGTAAAAAAATAGTAATTTCGACCGGGCCGAACTTTGAATACCCTCCACCATTTGGAACGGATTTGGGAGATTTAAAAAAAAATCCATTAAAATCCATTAAATCTTCTGTTAAAACCCAATACTCTTCCAGTGGGGTAAAATACTCAGAAGGAACTCCTTTTGTGGATTTTCTGGCAATTTAATCGAAAATGTTGCCTACAATTACCAAAATACCAAATATCGGGGGGTGGCGTGCCGTTATATGGGGGCTATATGATATCGTGCACCGATATAGCCCATCTTCGAACTTGACCTGCCTGCAGACAAAAGACTGTGCCAAAATTTTACCTTCCTATCTTTATTCGTTTTGATTCTAGCGTGATTACAACAGACAGACGGCAGACGGACAGGGATAAATCGTCTTAGAATTTTATGTTGATCAAGAATATACAGGGTAAGATAAAAAACTGCAACAATGTAAAACGCCATAATTTTTAAATTTTTTATAAATTTTATTGAATGAAAGCAGAAAATGTTGGATATAGCATCAATTTTTAGAATAAGTTTAGATTTGTTCGAATTGGCCACCTTTTGCACGAATTATGGTCTTCCGCCAATGAAACCGTCTAATGCTGTCCGAATGTTGTTCTGCGATATTTTGGCCCATTCCCGGCGAAGCGCTTGCTTGAGGTGATCGACACTTTGGTATTTTTTAGTGCCAACCTTGCTTTCCAAAATACTCCAGATACAATAGTCCAACGGATTGGTATCCGGAAATTTTGGTGGCCAATGTGCGCTGGAAATGAAGCGAGGAACCTCATTTTCTTGGGTTGCGCGTGATGAGTGCGATGGTGCCGAGTCCTGTTGGTATGTCCAAGGTCTGCGGCCAAAATGTTTGCGTGTCCAAGGCTTTAATACGCCCTCAAGAATATTTTCGCCATAATATTCGGCATTTATTCTGATGCCACGGTCGATTAATACGAGCGGAGAGCGACCATCGGCTGTTATGGCGGCCCACACCATCACCATGGCCGGCGCTTGAGTTCTGTTGGCCAACCGAAGGTGCACATTTAAAGCTGACCTCTTTGGCAAGTAAACATGCAAACTGCTGAACAACGAATGTTTTCTCATTGGAGAAAACCAAATTCGGCAGTTCGAAGCAAGCAACTCCTTAGCTCTTTTGAGTCTATCTTCCTTCGTTTGCGGTATAAGTTCTTGCACTTTTTGGAATTTAAATGGCTTTACAACGAGCTCATTTTTTCAATATTTGCCGAATGGAATATTGCGATATGTTCAGCTCACGAGACATTTTTCGGCCACTGCGATGCTAGTTTCGATAAAGTCTCTTCTTTACTTTTCGAACCATTTCTGCTGATGTTGCTGTTTTCATGCGTCCACTTCCTTGACGTCAGGCTACGCTACCAGTACCACGGTAACGAGCGATGGTACGAGACACCAAAGATTTATTTACATTTAAATGCTGGAGTTAGAGCACTCCATAGTTAGAGCTCAGATAGTCACTTGTGGTTTTCCAGCCAAATATAAAGAAATCACACTATCACGCTTGAATTCCATCACGAATAACTTATTTTTTCTGGAAAATTCTCACCAAAATGCTTTTGTACGCTTGTAAACAATATAATGAGCTGTCACTGGAATACTTTTAACAGCTGTTGGACTAGTGGCTTAGAAATGACAGCAGTCTGAATTCAAAATAAATTATTATTTCGTCGAGTTACAAACGGAATGACGAACTTAATATACCCTCCACACTATGTATGGTGGAGGGTATAAAAAATACAAAAAGTTCTACAACAAACAATTTAGAATAAACTATTTAATAGAAAACTCATTAAGTGTTTTTATTATTTATGTACAGACAAGTGAACTTTGGTTTGGAATTTCAATTAAAGAAAAAATATAAACAAATACTCTACTTTGCTCATCACAATGACATATATGTGTGTAAAATTATAATTCATTTTTAAAATAAATACTTTTTTAATAAACATACTATGTATATGTGTATGTAAAAAAGTATTGAGTAAAAAATCCCAACATACCAAAAATACAATACAGCTTGAGAACAATATTATAAAAATATAATTTTTCAACAATGCTTGAGAAACACTTATGTTCCACAAACATTTCTCAAGTCTGTCCCTTGTTGACAAATTAGTTTTGATTTTTTGTGAAAATTGTCAGCAAGAAATTATTTTCTTTGGCAAAAAACAAAATCACGCGAATTTAGGACCCATTTGTGGACCGAACCCTTAAGGTATGGATGAATAATAAATCCGGGAATCTTTCACATAAATTATTCCAATCCCATTTCAGATTGGAAGCATCAAAAAAGTTGCAGGAATTCAATAAATGTGTAGTCTTAGTGGAAGAGATGCAGAAGTTCAAATAAGGGAGAAGAAAGCGTCAGGGTATCAAGGCCACATGCGGCAGTGACTACTGGGATGTCCATCAAGAAAAAACGTTAAAAATGATTAAAAACTAAAAAAAATAATATTTTATACTATTACAAAAATAAGCTTATTATAATATTATTTTTGTAAGCTTATTCTACAATTTCAAGTATAAGCTTATAAATAAGGGTTCCGTTTCGATTATTCTATACTTGTTATACAAACATTTTTCAATGTTTTCTCAAGATTTTCTCAAGCTTAAGGCTTATGTTCATAAGCTTATTGTAATATTATTCTCAAGCCATTTTGGTATGTTGGGATGTATAACAAAATGTATATGTATATTTGACATATATTTAAATCCTCTTACAAAAGTTCAAGTAAGAGGAAATTTTCGGGGGTCTGTAGAGACTTTTTTAAAACAGATGTGATCCGTTCTGTGCAAATTTCAAAAATGTTGAAACCCTTCCCTCAAAAAGTTTTGAAGAATGGCGCTATTTCGCACCAACCCCGTGCGATTAACGATGTGTAACAAATACACATGCAATATTCAATCGAATTAATTTTAAATATTAAGATCTTCCAGTACAATACAAACAAAGTGCTGGTTTGAGACTGAGCTATAGTTTTCCAATTTGAATATAGCAGCAGTGTTTACTTTATTAGATCCTATCCGTATAGAAACCAATTAAAACGCGTTTAACGCGTGTCCAAGCAAATGCTTAGTCATACTATTTTTTGAGATGCTATTAGACTGGTTTTTATCGTTAATTTATGGCTGATATTATAAAAATCACATTCTGGATTATGAATGATAGGTGTTTAGGAATTATACCAAGTTATTCTATTTCACAGTGGACTCCATGTAACGTCAGTTCAATTTTTAATTTTTGTTTGAAAATTTTCCAGAGATTCGAAAAAAGTGCAATTACAGTTATATCGTGAACAATTCTGGGTCCGTAGGGTAATAAGGTCCTAAAATATGCTCAAAAACGAAGTTACGCTATTTTCATTCTATTATAATTATTAAAGCTTCTGACCTTTTATGGTGGCGGTTCCAATATTGACCATTTCATGTCTGACCTAAGTCCGATACAAATATTACAAGGGGCCAGATTTGGCCTATATCGATTACTTCCTGTACTTTATTTGGGTGATAATTTTTGAATATGTTCAAATGTGGATGTGGATCGATCGATGTGGTCCGATGTATTTCACTTCATAAAATAACATCTAAAAAGTGGGCCGATAAATTCCATATTCACTTCCATATTCAGATCTCTTGTTGACAAAAATTCAGACCTCTTGTTGACAAAAATTCAGATCTCTCGTTGACAAAAATATTTAGATAAACCTAGTCTGCAAAGAATAGGTGGCTTGTTTCGCATTTTATGAGATATAATTATTCAAAATGTTGACCCTTTGTGGAGAAGGTACCAGAAGGAGTGAACCGATATATTCCACCTTCACACCAGATCTTGTGTTTGTGGAAATATTGGAAAGGAAGAAATAGTCCGATATCTTCCATCTTCACAAAACGTGTTATGTTGATAGAAATATTGGGGTGTGACGAGTTTGAAAGAAAGTTTATTTGTGGGGGAGGTACTTCATGGAATGAGCCGATATTGTCGACAGATAAAAGCATTGAAAATTTTGACCTTCTTCTGGGTTCGCAGATATATATCATCTTCACAAAAATGTTTATATACGTGCAATTGGAAGAGAGTTCTTTGAGCGTTTTGTTTTTCAAAATCTTCAAATCATTTGTGGTTGAGGTACCAGAAGAAATGGTCGGATCTCTACCATCTTTATAACAGATCTCGTTTTGATGGAAATATTGAGATGTACCAAGTCTTATGAGCTTCATGGATATTCAAGCTTTTGACCCTTTGTGGGCGAGGTATCAGAAGGAGTGGACCGATATATTCCATCTTCACACCAGACCCTGGGTAAATAAAAATATTGTGAGGTGTGGAATTTGGAGACAATCGGATTCTTGCATCAAATTAAAATTATTCAAAATGTTGACCCTTTGTTGGGGAGCTACTTGATGGAGTGAACCGATATCGTCCATTTTTACACCTACAAATATTAGGATTTGAACTTTCTGTGCAGTAAAATATATACATATATTTTTTTAATTTTGACCGGAAGGACTGGACCAATATTGTCCATTTGCGTACTCGATCTAAGTTTGACAATATTATTACAATGTTCCAAGTTTCAACCCTGCGAGAATCATTGTGCGCACCAGTTAGAATACAGGTAGATGCATCAACGCTTGGAAACGTTGATATATTAAATTTTTTTAAATGTTTCTTCTGAAATAAGTATATTTGCACACGTTTTCCTATACGACATCAATCGGAGGTTGTGATGATTTGCATTTTATTTCTTTATTTATTTCTTTATTTATTTAATTCATACTTAATACTAAAGCCTCCAAGGCCAATTAATTGTATTAATAAGGTACTCAATATCAAGTAGAAAAATTCAAAATAACTTATAATTAACTATAACATTATTAAAAAACAAGTTATAAAAGGCTCCCCAGCCAAAACTACAAAAAAAAAAAAAAAACAAAAGTGAAAAAAAAATGAGTCAATAGAGGCAAAATAACCAACAACAAGCAATTAAATTTTTAAGAAAGGTGAACAATAAAGGCGACGATAAAAATAATTTAAATATTATTATTTAAAAATTAAAAAAGAGTAAAATGAAGAAAATAAAAGCTCAAAACAACGAAAATGAAACTAATTGGGATAAATACCAGGATACAGGACATGATTCAATACTTTCAAACGAAAGGCATTATTAGAATGGGAAAAAATTCTAAGCTCAATAGGTAGATAATTCCACAAACGTGCAACACGTACAATAAAAGACTTTTCAAATGTCAAGTTATTTATTCTGGGTATTAATATCTGAGTACTCCTAGTTGACCTGGAAAAACTGAACATGTTAGCCAGAAACCTAGGAACACCACCTCTGATAGTTTTGTAAAAGTAATGCAATAACTTAACAGATAAAAATTGCTCAAAAGAAACTCCCAGGAAATCTATAACAAAATTTGAGATGTGATCACGTTTCTTCAAGCCATACACAAATCTTACGATAGCATTAACTACACGCTTAACTCTTAAACAAATACAATTTATTGTACCAGAAACCAGCTCGAGCCCATAATTGATATGAGGCATTAAAAGAGCATTCGCCAACCTCTTTTTAACCCACAATGGTAAAAATAAATTAGTACCATATAGTCTACGAATAATAGCAAAAACTCGTCTCTGAATGGAATCGACATGAGTCTCAAAAGAAAGTTTCTCATCTACTAAAATACCCAGCATTCTGTGACAGCTTACAAAACTAATTAGATTACCATCGAGAGCTATATTTAGATTATATGCATTACTACCAAACTTAATAGCCTTTGTCTTTGACGGATTCAATACCAGACAATGTTCAAAACACCACTGTCCAACATGAACAAGACAATTATTAATTTCACTTTCAAAAGCTATAGGATTAATATTAGAATTGGTAAACACGAGAAACACATCATCCGCATATAAGAGAGGAGTGCAATTTACACCATTACAACATTCAGAGAGGTTATTGACATATAAAATGAAAAACAAAGGACCTAATACGGAGCCCTGCGGAACACCGCACGAAAGCAATGCCACACTTGAGGATCTGCCATTATAATGAACAAATTGGGATCTACCAGACAAATATGATAAAATAAGATTACAAGCTGTCTCAGAAAAATCGAACTCATACATCAGTTTACTGAGTAATATTTGATGAGAAAGAGAATCAAATGCCCTTGTTAAATCCAATGAAACAATTACAGTATCCTGTTTAAGGTTCGTGTTCGATCTCACTAACTCAGTTAAGTAAAGAAGCAAACTGGTGGTATTATGATTCCTACGGAAAGCAAATTGACCATTATATAACTTGCCTGCAATATGAGCAAGAATTTGGTCCTTCATAACATGCTCACACACCTTAGCCATCACAGGGAGAATCGATATAGGCCTGAGATCATCAGGGCCACGAACAACATTCCCCTTTGGAATTGGAACGACACGAGCTTGCTTCCACAAGCAAGGAAACACAGACGACATCAAAACAGAATTGACCAAATCCAAAATAATATCACTCACATATGGAAAGATTAATTTCAAAAAATCCACAGGTATTCCATCAACTCCGACAGATTTAGACTTTATTCTGTTTAGTGCAATAATAATTTCTTCCATACGAACACAGCTAAAAGAAAATCCATCACTGCGTGCGTTAGACAATTGCAAATCAATATTAGGCATATGTGAGTTCCTATATTGAAAAAAATAGTTCAGATCATCAACATCAATGTCAAGAGACACATCATCATCACCAATACAACCCGAAGCCCTAAAAAAACGCCAAATAGCAGTTGAACCCAACGTATTAAATTTCTTAGAGTAATACTTTCTACGCTCACGACGAGTAACTAACTTCGCTCTATTACGATAACGACAAAAAATTTTCCAATTGTCATTGCTTTTATTATCAAGGTAAGCCTTAAAAGCCAAGTCACGAAGTGATCGAGCAAGTGTAATGCTATTTGAACTAATCCAATTATCATCAGATCGCATTTTTCTATGCACCAAAGGAACATAATCAAACAACCCCAACAAAAGATTTGATATTTGAGAGCATTTAGCGTCAACATCCACAACATTCATCATATCAATATTAAAGGCTGATAGATAAGAAAAAAAACCCGGCCAGTCAACACAAGAGTAATCTCGATACTCAACAAAATCACAAAATGTATTAACACCAATATTTAACGATGCAAAAATAAGTGAATGGTCAGATATCGATGGACATATTGCCTGATCAGACAGATGTACCATAGCACAATCATTTATCAGCATAAAATCAAGCAGAGAAGTCGCACGATGTGTAAGATCATAGTGAGTAGGTTTGGAATTATGAAAAACTGACAAGTTTAACCGGAAGCAGACTGAACGGACAGACATAGATTTATGCGGATCAAACATATTAGTATTAAAATCACCCACTATAACAATTTTTGAATACTCTAAAAATAAATCACTATGAATTTCTTCAAAAACATTAAT